GATAGGATTTCTAGAAATAATATTGCAGATGCCAACTGGATGCATTTAGCTTCCTGCCATAAAACATGGGAGTTAAATCAGAAGACCTAAGAAACAACTTCAGTTTTTAAGCAAATTTTAGAAGAAATATAAAAAAAAAACAACTAAGACTTGCTGTGTTAAAATTTTTTCAATCTCCAGATTTTCCTGGCAAAAGACTGTCAAAATTAAAAATTAACCTTGTAAAGATAAAATTTTTGTTACTACTCAAAATACATGACCTCATAGTAAACATCAAACCTAGTGTGGGAGTCAATGGTATTTTCTGATCCCTGAGAAGGATTAGAAGCTATGTCTCAGAGAGCTAGATGGGAGCTTTATAGAATCTTAAAGATTGTCCATTGCACCCTCAATTGCAAACTTTTAAGAGAGTTGTATTGAAGGAATAACTACTAGCTTGGATTAAAAATGTTAAGACAGACAAAATAGAAAAAAAGCATATTCTGTGAAAGGTATAAATAAGGTTGTAAAACTACTCAGCTGCAAAAAAAGACAGTTTTTTAGGAAAATGAGAATCAAAGGGCAGATCCAAGGGCCAAGATGACTGAGCAAAAACTGTGTAGAACTGCAAGGGACAAAATGGGCCCTAATCAAAGAGCTTGTAAGATAGTAAGTGGGGGTTGTTTTAAACCATATAGCTTTTGTGGTAATTTTTTATGACAGCAATAGGAAAATTATGTGCCCTGTTCCCCAGATTCTGTTATTTGCTTCTGGCTTATTTTGGACAACATTTATACATCACTTCAGAACCCGTTGGCCTTATCTGTCTTTTATTTCATCCACTAATGTAGTGACCAACTCTGCAAAGGCTCTGATAGAATTATCTTGACATTGTGCAGATGCCACACCATCATACTAATTCACAGTATTGATGATATTGTTTCAATTGGCCAGGGGAGCAAATATTGAGAAGTGTGCTTGATATACTAGTAACTCACAAATCGTGTGTGAAGGAGGAATATTAAACCTTAGGGGAAAAAAGTGAATTTTTTAGGAATTTAAAGGTGTAAGACATTCATCTTGAGGTATTCTCTTTCTCTTTTTTCCCCCAATGTCTTTAGTCATTCACAACAGCCAAAGGAAGCTCAGAATTTGGTGGATTTTTGTGCATTTTGAAGACAATTTGTACTTCCCTTGGAACTACTATTCCAATCCATTTTTTGGTGACTAAGAAAGTTGGCCATTCGGAGTCATTTATGGTTCCATATAAATTTTTGAAATGTCTGTTCAATTTCTGTGAAATATGTCATTGGTATCTTAATAGGGATTGTGTTGAATCCATAAATTGCTTTGGGTAGTATGGACATTTCGATGATATTAATTCTTCCAATCCATGAGCACGGTATACGCTTCCATTTATTTTTGTCTTCCTTAATTTCTTTCTTCAATGTTGTATAGTTTTCTCTGTACAGGTCTTTTACCACTTTGGTTAAATTTATTCCGAGGTACTTTATTTTTCTTGTTGCTATATCAAATGGTATTTTTTTTCTGATTTCTTCTTCTTCTATTTCATTGCTGGTGTACAAATATGCCTTTGATTTCTGAATGTTGACTTTGTATCCCACTGTTTTGCCAAATTCACTAATTAGGTTGAGGAGATTTTTGGTAGAGTCTACAGGGTTTTCTATGTACACTATCATGACATCTGCAAACAATGATAGCTTTACTTCCTCCTTTCCTATTTGGATGCCTTTTATTTATTTTTCTTGATCACTGTGGCTAGGACTTGGAATACCATGTTGAAAAGAAGTGGTGGAAGCGGACATCCTTGTCGTGTTCCCGTTCTTAGTGAGAGAGCTTTTAGTTTTTGCCCGTTGAGTATGATGTTGGCTGTAGGTTTTTCATATTTGGCATTTATTACGTTGAGGAATGCCCCATTTATTCCCATTTTTCTGAGTGTTTTGATCATAAATGGGTGCTGTACCTTATCGAATGCTTTTTCTGCATCTATCGAGATGATCATGTGGTTTTAGTCTTTCTTTTATTTATGTGATGTATTACGTTTATTGATTTGCATATATTGAACTATCCCTGCATCCCTGGGATGGATCCCACTTGATCATGGTGGATAATCTTTTTAATGTATCGCAGCAATTTTGAGAAAGAAAAACAAAGTAGAAGGGATCACCATACCGGACATCAAACTATACTACAAAGCCACTATACTCAAAACAATCTGGTATTGGCACAAGAAGAGACCCATAGTCCTGTGGAACAGAATGGAAAGCCCAGAAATAAGCCCAGGTCTATATTTGCAACTAATATTTGACAAAGGGGACAGAAGCATAAAATGGGGCAATAATAGCCTCTTCAACAAATGGTGTTGGGAGAGCTGGATGGTTACATGCAAATATTTGAAATCGGATCATCAGCTGACACCATACACAAAAATAAACTCAAGATGGATAAAATACTTAAATATTAGTCGAAACACCATAAAAGTCCTAGAGGAGAACATTGGCAGGAAACTCTCAGATATCCCACGCAGCAATTTTTTCACTGATATGTCTCCTAAAGCAAGGGACATAAAGGAAAGAATAAACAAGTGGGACCTCATCCAAATAAGAAGCTTCTGCATGGCTAAAGAAAACATCAGCAACACCAGCAAAATGAAAAGGGAACCAACCTTATGGGAAAATATATTTGCTAATGATACATCAGATAGAGGTTTGATCTCCAAGATATACAAAGAACTCACTCAACCCCACTCCAAGAAGACACATGATCCAATCAAAAAATGGGCAAAGGACCTGGGCAGATGCTTTTCCAAGGAAGAGATACAGAGGGCCTAGAGATATTTGAAAGGATGCTTGGCATCACTAGCCATCAGAGAAATGCAGATCAAAACCACCATGAAGTACCACCTCACACCGGTCAGAATGGCCATCATAAACAGATCCACAAACAACAGGTGCTGGCAGGGCTGTGGAGAAAAGGGAACCCTAGTCCACTGTTGGTGGGAATGCAGACTGGTGCAGCCACTGTGGAAAGCAGTGTGGAATTTCCTCAAAAAGCTGAAAATGGAACTGCCTTTTGATCCAGTGATTCCCCTGCTGGGACTATACCCTAAGCACACCAAAACGCCAATACAAAAGAACCTATGCACCCCAATGTTCATAGCAGCACAATTTACAATAGCCAAGTGTTGGAAGCAACCTAAATGCTCATCAGTAGATTACGGGATCAAAAAGTTATGGTACATTTACACAATGGCATACTACACAGTACAAAGAAAAAAGAACTACTAAACTTCGCGACAGCATGGATGGAACTAGAGAGCATTATGCTAAGCGAAATAAGCTGGGGGCAAAAGACAAATACCATATGATCTCACCTGTAAGCAGAACCTAACCAACAATACAAAGATGCAAGGAAAATAAGTCCAGCAACACTGAAAGGCAAAAAAACCAACAGAGACAAGAGGGAAGGAGCGAGGTGGGCGGGGGAAAAGGAGGGGAAGGGGGAAAGTCAAGGAACATATAGCAAGGACTTACGGACAAAACCAAAGGGGAAAGATTGAGGGAGGGGGCAAGGGAAAGTAGTGGGGGGTAGGCAGAGACAAATGTATTTGAAAAAATAAATTAATTTACAAAAAAGCAAATCAAGAACCAAAAACTCATACACATAGACAACAGTATGGAGGCTATCAGAGGGATGGGGGATAGAGAGGTAGGAAAGGGAAAAGGGAGTCAACTATATGGTGACAGAAAATGATTTGACTTTGGGTGGTGGGCACACAATGACATAGTGCAATGTAGTCTTGAAATCTACATGCTCTTATTAGCCATTGTCACCACAATGAATTTAAAAAAAAAATCCTTCATGTATTGCACCTAAGTACAGATCACAGCAGGCATTCAATCAATATTAATCACTTTATTATTCTTGAATGCCTCACATAAAGTCTTGGATCGTAATGGCAAAGATAACAATAATAATAATAATTGCCATTCATTGAGCACTTGACTGCATGGAAGAATTGGACTATATGCTTTGTTCCAATTATCTTCACAACAGTCATATGGCATAATATTATTATTTTTATTTTACAGGTAATAAAACTAAATATCAAAGGGTGTATTAGTCTGTTCAAGATCACAAAGCTATTAAATGGCAGAGCATAAAATCAGTTTCATGTTGTGTGACTCCAAAACTAATACTTTGGTGCACGTAACTTTTCTTAACTTGGTAATAAAAAAATTGACTCCCATATTGAACTCTTTTTGACATGTTCATATTTTTATAGTCTGCTCAAATCTCTACCAATAAAGAAAAAAAAATTCTGGGAAAACTGACCTAAGTCAGAATTCTTGACCACAGAACTTCTATAAGTTACTAAGTCATCTTTCATTGACACTTGATTCTGGGTTATGATTATGGTTTTATATTATTGGCAATTTTGAAAAGGAAGAGTAAGTTCCAATTACCTCCTGATCCTTAAATAATAGTTTATGAATACTAATAATTCCCTATATTAATACAATTATCTTCTATCTTGGAAAAAAGTTCCAAACTGATTTTTAAAATCACTTTTTTAGTGCTTTATTATATGCTATCATTCTTTTTTTCTTTCTTTGCATCAACAATGCATTTTATTATACATCTTTGATTTAGCATTTCATATATGCTTTTAAAGCTTCAGTCAATAGTTCAATAGAAAATATATATATATATGCACAGCAGTGGTTCTCAGGCATAGATTTGGAGATTGGAACAAGCTTTTTTCCCTGGCATATTGTGAACCATGATAGTAGAACTGTTTCCTTCTGACATAGCTGCTTTTCTGATTGATATTTATCACAGTAGACAGCTTTACTAGGTATGATATTGCTAACTGGAAACAATGAGATTTAAAATATTTTCTTGAAATCTTTAAGACCTAAATGGATATTTTTCTCTAACAGAGCTCTAAGATGATCCAATGAAAATAGTACTGTCCATAAAATATCTGGAGCATCAGCCTAAAAACCACTGCGCATGTCTTCAAGCCTCACAGGATGATGTAATGGTATGATGGATTTCTTTTCAGTGTCCCTGGAAAGTGCTTTCCTCATATCATAAGCATCCTTGTCCGGTTCTCCATTGCTGGCTGAATAGTATTCTATGCTGTCCTGTACATGCTGTAGCCCAACTACTTGTACATGTTGACTGCAACTTGGTTAGATACTGTTACAAAGAGGTCAACAGAAAATCCATCTTTTCTTTCTGAAATCTCTAGTAACTCCATAAGTTTAGCAGCCAAACCAAGGCATCGAAATTCTTGGGCAACGGCCAGAGCTGTGGCATGCCCATGCCATTCTTCCCTAGCAACTGAGCCTTCAGCTTTACCGATTATATAAGCCATTAACTCTCCACCAGGGGCCTCTGCAACGATGAAATACTCTGGCAAATGGGAGATGTACTGTAAGTAAAAAGGAATCCCATAAGTTTCTGTAAGTGGATCCAAGTTAATGTTGTTGAGGCGGAACAAGTCGTCGCACCCGAAGGCCCAAAGCGTGGACATTACACCACTGCAGACACAGCTTGCTCGCGGAGACCTCCTATCTGCTATCATTCTTGGGTCCATGAATGAATGAATGAATGAATGAATGAATACCCTGTTTCATGAAATAAACAAATACACTTATATCACATGATAGAAGAATTCTAAGTGATCCCCCAAATACCCGATCTCTGGTATGCACACCTTAGGACTGTGAATATGATGGATTTTTCTCCCATAATTAGATTATTTGCCACAGTTGAATTTAATATAGGGAGATTATCTGGGTGAGTCTGGCCTAATCACTTGAGCCCTTGAAGTTGACTGGCTTTTCCTGCCATCAGATGTGCAGGGCATGGAAAGGATTCCACCTGAGACCGGGTCTCCATTCTCGGCTTTGAAGGCAGAGGGACCATTAGAGAAGGAGTGCAAGCAGCCTCCAGAGCAGAGTGGAACCCCATCTAAATTCATACATCAGTATTACAATCGTGAGGAATTGCATTCTTCCAATAATCAGAATGAAAATGAAAGCGATCTTACTGTTTAAGGTCAGCCTTCATATGCAAACTCAGTTTAGCCAACACCTTGATTTCAACCTTAGAATGGGTATATTCTGACCAGGACCAGAAATCCTGAGGCCAGCATAGTGTCCATGGACTCATTGATAAATGGGAGTTGTTTTAGGTCACTAAGTTTGTGACAAGTCGTCACACAGCAGCAGAAAACAAGTATACCACTTAGAATATAACTTATTAACCAACAAGAGATTTGTTTTTTTTTGGGCTCATGAAAATATTAAAGAATATTTCTGCTTATGAAATACAGTAACCACAGTTCTTACTGTGTAGCATATAAAATGATTGGAATGTGCAATATTTTAATAAAATACTTCATTGAATTGTGATTATGTTTAATTAACCATTTGGATTTTGAAAGTCAGAATAAACATTTGTGCTTATTTATCAAAATGACATAAAATGCCTTCTATACTTATATGAGCTGTTTTGCATATTTTCTCTCTGAAACAATTTTTAAAGCTATTTAAGTCTCCCAAATGTTTCAAGATAAATACTATTACTTTTTTACATCAATGTTGTAGAATATGAATCTTAGCAATGATGCTTTATTTGTGACATGTCTTTGATGATTCATCCAGTTTGACAAGTAACTGTCCGCTTTTAAGCTCTGTAGTTTGCATCAACACTGAGATGAAATTAGACTTGAACAACATGTACCATTGAAGCAAAATAACATACAATCATTGTATTGTTATAAAAATAAAGCTTTGCAATGTCCAAAAATAGCTAATGGAGCAGTATCTTTGATTCAATCATTGATTTTTTTTTCCACAAAATATCCAGAATTAACTTAAATATCCTTTGTCCAATGACAGTAACTTATAATAAAAAAAAGAGGGCTCATATCTGCTGTATAATTTTTAGGGCTACATTGGAAAAGATTATGATAATGCACATATAATAAAACTGTTGACAACGGTTGAGTCTTGTAATTGCAAATTAAATTTAAGGAGACTGCCTTGAAGATAAGAACTAGTGATATTTTTATTTTGATTAGCTTTACCTTTTCAAGTGTTCTGCTAAGAACCCATATCACACAAATAGAAGCAAGGACTTTATTGTCATCACTATAGCAACGGCAGGGATATTTATTTCAAAACAGTTGGCTACCTGAAATTTTTTTTCATGAAGGAAAGGGGAGCGGATGATATGCAACATTTTAATTTATTTTAAAAAATTATTCTGTGACCAAAACTCATGCACTTTCTTTTATAAGAATAAGACAGTCCAGTTGCTTTGTCATTTTCAAAATTTAAGCAATAAGGGATCACACATATATCTGTGTATAAGTTAATTTCAATTATTTTATGAATTAGTGTTCAGCTTTTATTTTGCATTTTGAAAGCTGCTTATGAAACACCTTTATGAAAAATAATTTTATATGGCTCATTTGAAATTTGAATATATCATTAAACAATACTTTTTCTACAAAGTATGATATTTAAATAAAACACATTACACCAAATATTAATATACATAAGCAATCGGAAAATAATAGTATCTACTTTGACTTTACAAGAATGATTACAATTTTAAAGCTGGTAGATTTAGTATTTTGGCTCTCAAATTTCTGTGCAAGAAAATGCTCTTGTTCTTCCTTCCATATCTTTTCATTTCTCTAAACTTTATCATGAACACGCATGGTTGAAAGGTGCTGACAATCTGCATTTAAAATAAGATGATCATAGAGTAAGGCTGCCTAGGCAATTTATAACCTTTATATCTTTGCTGGAGCCAGAGTTCTGAGAACTTCGTTTTTAATAGCCTTTTAAAAATGTCTTTCTGGACTGATAGGACTTACTTTTTAAGTGCTCTCTCATACTTTAAGTGAAAAAGACATGACAAGATTTAAAGAGTCCCTAAAATACATTCTTATGCTGTGTTTAGGTTTCCCCCATAAAGCAACTTACTAACACTGAGGGCACAAGTCTTCTACAAAACTTAGGAGGATTAGGTGTCTTATGAGATAAATTGTGATATACATCCATTCTCACAGGTTTCATAATCTTTGTGTGAATTCTGCTCTTGGAATTAAAATCTTACAAGTCTGTAAAATTATACATAATAATAAAAAATGGGAATATGCTTATAGTAAACCATTAAAATGATGAGTGGATATTTTTGAAAGAGCTTATTGTTTTAAAAACTAAAGTTGATTTTATGTGTTTATTACTTTCTTTTATTGTAGAATCAATTGAATAAAACCTCTGGTATACATATTTATGGTATGAGAAGTGTAAGTTCATTATCAAGTTTACCTATTTAAAGATAATGATTGCATATTTGGTAACAATACATTTTTAAAGCTTTTCCTTAACAAGCTTGATTAAGTAAGTTAATTATATGGCTAAATATGGAAGAGTTTTATTGTGTTTTCCTGATTTTATCACACAAAGTCAGTTTTCAGTAAAATTCTTAAATCTATGCTAGGTACAATTTCTATCAATCTTTGGAAGTAAATATTAAAGTTAGAAGAAAATTGGTGACCTAATGATATCTACAAATATTAAGCAATATTTTTCAACTCTGAAAACTTTTTTGATTTAAAAAATACTTTACTTTTCATTAATCATGCAGAAGCTTTTATTTTGATGAGGTCCCATTTATTTATACTTTCCTTTATGTCCCTTGCTCTAGGGAACATATTGGTGAAAATATTGCTGTGTGGAATATCTGAGTTTTTCCTTCCTATATTCTCCTCTAGGAATTTTATGGTGTCATAGCTTATATTTAAGTCTTTTATCTACCTTGAATTTATTTTTATGTATAGTGTAAGTTGGTGGTTGAATTTCTTTTCTTTTTTTTTTTTTTTTTTTGCATGTAGCTGTCCAGATCTCTCAACACCATTTGTTGAAGAGGCTATTTTTACTCCCTTTTATGCTTTTCCCCCTTGTATCAAATATTAATTGACCATAGCGACATGGGTTCATTTCTGGGCTCTCTATTCTATTCCACTGATCTATGTGTCTGTTCTTATGCCAGTACCAGACTGTTTTGATTACAATGGCCTTGTAAGATAGTTTGATATCAAGTATTATGATCTCTCCTACTTTGTTCTTCTTTCTCAAAATTGCTGTGGCTATTCAGGGTCCTTTGTGGTTTCATATAAATTTTTGAAATGTTTTCTGTATATCTGCGGAATACATCATTGGCATTTTAATAGGAGTTGCATTGAATCTATAAATTTCTTTGGGTAGTATGGACATTTTGATGATGTTAATTCTTCCAATCCACGAACATCTCATATAGAAAGGGAACCAACTATATGGGAAAATATTTTTGCAAATGATACCTCAGACAAGGGTTTGATCTCCAAAATATATAAATTAACTCACATGACTCCACTCCAGGAAGACACACAACCCAATTAAAAAATGGGCAAAGGACCTGAACAGACACTCCCTCAAGGAGGACACAAGGCCCAGAGGCATATGAAATGCTCAGCATCACTAGCCATCAGAAAGATGCAAATTAAAAACCACAATGAGATACCACTTCACACTAGTCAGAACAGCCATCATAACCAAATCAGCAAACAAGTGCTGGTGAGGATGTGGAGAAAAGAGAACGCTAGCACACTTGGTGGGAATGCAGACTGAGGTGCCACTAGAGAAAACAATATGATATTTCCTCAGAAAACTAAAAATTGAACTGCCTTTTGACCTAGTGATTCCACTGCTGGGATTATACCTTAAAAACCCTGAAACATCAACTGAAAAGAACCTATGCTCCCCAATGTTCATAACAGCATAATTTACAAGAGCCAAGTGCTGGAAGCAACCCTAAGTGCCCATCAGTAAATGAGTGGATAAAAATACAATGGCACATTTATACAATGGAACACTACACAGCAGAAAGAAAGAAGAAGCTCCTAACCTTCATGATAAAGGGTGGGAAGTGGGGATGGGTGGCGCAAGAGGGAGTTGTGGGGGGAAAAAGGAGAACAACAATAAAAAAATTTAAAAACTAAAACAATAAAAAATACTTTACCTTTCAAATTAATGAAAACATTAGAATATAATTTATTTGAGAATTATATTATTTATATCACTCAATAAACATGTTTTCTTATAGTGGTTATAAAATGTAGTGTGTATGCAAAATATACCTCAACTTTTAAGCATGAGAACACATTTACATAGATATTTATTTCAAAATATAGATACCTCATTCAAAATATCTATCTTAAGTTTATTAAGCATAAATTGTTTTCTTTTAAAGTTTACAAAATTTAGGAGGCTGCCAGTAGATGGCATTCTGGTTTCTATAAGAGAGGTATACTTTGGGATTGACTCTTTTCTTTGGAAAAATGGAAAAGAAATTGTGACAATAAGATTCTGATTGAAAAGGTTATCATTAGCTTTTCCCGAGAAAACTATAGTCACTCTAAAAACAATTAAGTGTGAAACCATATTTCTTATGTAACTTAGTTTACTAACCCCA